CTATGATTCTAAATACTTTTGGGGAAAGAACACTATAAGAGATAAGAGTCTTATTGCTTTTCTGCCTAATCCTGTTTGAGATATTTATTTTTCTTTACAGTTGCAGTTAAGGAATTATTGCACACATGGATATACTTCAAAACATCACAGCCCTTTGTGTGGGCATGTGAAGGAGGAAGAAGAGTCTGAGAATGGCAATCAGCATCGGCCCAGCTCAGTTTAATTCACCAGAGTATTACAACTTGTACATGTGTTGTTTTACTGAAATGTGAACCTATCCTTTAATTCACTTTCCAATTAACTTTAGGTTATTGATTTATTCCGTACTTTTGGTTATAATGTACATCCATAAATCCACTCAGAAATCATACAAAAACATGCCCCAGATAATTTCAGAACTTGCCTGTCACATTTTTAAGTTTGCTCAACTTGTAGCTTACTGCTACACATTACTACACATTGCTGCATATTGCTACACATTACTACACATTACTACACATTGCTGCATATTGCTACACATTACTACACATTACTACACATTAGTGCACATTACTACACATTAGTGCACATTGCTACACATTAGTGCATATTGCTACACATTACTACACATTGCTGCACATTGCTACACATTACTACACATTGCTGCATATTGCTACACATTACTACACATTACTACACATTAGTGCACATTGCTACACATTGCTGCATATTGCTACACATTGCTGCATATTACTACACATTGCTGCATATTACTACACATTAGTGCACATTGCTACACATTAGTGCACATTGCTACACATTAGTGCATATTGCTACACATTACTACACATTGCTGCACATTGCTACACATTACTACACATTGCTGCATATTGCTACACATTACTACACATTACTACACATTAGTGCACATTGCTACACATTAGTGCACATTGCTACACATTGCTACACATTGCTGCACATTGCTACACATTACTACACATTGCTACACAGTGTACACACTGACACACAAAGAGTTTAGTTCACAGTTTCAACTCACTGCTTTAACACCGTGACCAGTCCTTCAATTGTCTTTACCACTCTCCCATAATGATCACCTCACATGAGGCTGTAGATGTTTTGACTGATTCATATTGCCTGTTTGATCCCTGATGGGGATGAATATTTTTGACTTTTCATGATCCTGCAATTTATTATTTATTTTCACTGTAGTTTGTTATGTGTTTTTAATGTTTGGAACCCTGTTAATGTTTTTGCTGCTGTCTGTCTTGGCCAGGCTGCTCATGTGAAATATATTTTTAATCTCAATGAGAATAATCCTGGTTAAATAAAGGTTAAAAATAAATTAAGATTTTCCTGTGGGTGCTAACAACGCTCCATAGTATCTGAGCTCCCAAACACCATCATAATGTGCACTTATGTCTAAGAGTGCCTTATTTTATCACCCATTTCAGTTGTTTGTGCAGAGCCACAGCTCAGATGTAGTCACTGTGATGGAGTTGCCTTTATTTATATTAATATTTTTGTCTCTGGGGTCTGATGTTTTGTTGGGTTGAAAGAACAACTGAAGAACCAGGGAGTGAGTGAATAAATCAGCTGGGCCTGATAACATCTCTGGGCGAAAAACCACACCTACATCAGAATGCTGTTTGTTTATTTCACCTCAGCATTCAACAAAATCTCCCCCATGAAACTGATTGGCAAACTTTGCATTCTGGGCTTGAGTACCCCCCTCTGTAACTGGATATTGGACTTCCTCACAAACCCCAGACAGTTCGGATTTGTGGACACACCTCCTCCAATCTACTACACTACTGTCTAGATCAGTGGTGCTGAAGTGGAGCAGTTGAACAGTTTTAGGTTCCTGGGAATCAACAAAACAGAGAACCTGAAATGGTCGTCTCACATCTCCACGCTGGTGAAATCAACTCAGAACAGGCTGTATTTCTTAAGGAATAGAAAGTGGTTAAATTCCCATGCCAGTACACGGCCAGGGATGTTATCAGGCCCAGCTGATTTACACATATTAATAAGACAATATGACTATTAAAACCTACCTTGTACCTTGAAACCAGAGCAGGACTGCTAAACCTCTCTGGCAAAACTGCAACTATGATTCTAAATACTTTTGGGGAAAGAACACTATAAGAGATAAGAGTCTTATCGCTTTTCTGCTTATCGCTGACCTGTTTGAGATATTTTAAGATATATTTATTAGAACTGCAATTAAGGAATTATAGCACACATGAATATACTTCAAAACATCACAGCCCTTTTTGTGGGCAAGGGAAGGAGGAAGAAGAATCTGAGAATGGCAATCAGCATCGGCCCAGCCCAGTTTAATAAGACACTTTCAATGTACATCTGGACGTGTTTGTATTGTTTTATGGAATACTTAAAACATGTGAACCTATCCTTTAATTCACTTTCCAGTTTACTTAATTATTGAGTTATTCTGTACTTGTTTAAACACCCTTCTGGTTATAATCTACATCCATAAATCCGATCTGAAATCTTAGAAAAACATGCCCCCTATGACTCCAGAACTTGCCTGAGAATATTCACATTTTTAAGTTAACTTGTAGCTTACAGCACTGAAACACAGAGAACATTTACACATAGACACACAAAGAGTTTACTTCAGTTTCAACTCACTGCTTAGACCTCTAATTGTTATCACTTTACCACGCTCCCATAATGATCACCTCGCGAGGCTGTAGATGTTTTGACTGATTCCATATCTGAGCTGCCAAACACCAACATAATGTTCGCTTATGTGTAAGAGAGTGGCTATTTTTTTATATTCACTATTCACCATCTAAGTTTAGTGTTTGCATGCTAACATTAGCACTAAACACAAAGTAGCCTACAGCTGAGGCTGATAGGAATGCCATGAGTATGCAGGTATTCATGATGCCAAATATTGCAACCTGATTGACCTGATGATGGTACTAAATGTTACAATTCACTCTGATGGGCACGAATGTCTGAACCAAACTTCATGACAATCGATCTAATAGTTTTTGAGACATTTCACTCAAGGCGGCACTAGAGGGAAACTCAGGGGAACAAAGTCCGTAGGATTCATCCTGAGGGGACCATGAATGTCTGCCAGACTAAAAATCCATTAGTTGTTCAGACAAATCAGTCTGGACCAACCTCACCATCCTGGAACCACGTCAGTCACATGGCGAAAAACCTGTTCAAATTGGGGGAAACTTAAGTTTGTCCAATATTAATTGGTCCAGTCAAATCAGGTCTTTTCCCCCAACTTCCCTGGATTAGGGTACTTCTGAAGTTCTCTCTAATTTGAGAGCTCAGAGCAGGTCTGAAAATTTAGATTACATTTATAGATAATAGAAAATTATAAACACTTTTGTTTTTGCCCCCATTCATCATGAGCTGAACTCAAAGATCTAATACTTTCTTTTTGTACACAAAAGGCCTATTTCTCTCAAATATTATTCACAAATCTGTCAAAATCCGTGTTAGCGAGCATTTCTCCTTAGTCGAGATAATCCATCCACCTCGCAGGTGTGGGATATCAAGATGCTGATCAGACAGCATGGGTATTGCACAGGTGGGCCTTAGACTGGCCACAATAAAAGGTCACTCAAAAATATGCAGTTCCATCACACAGCGTGTGTTGCGTGTATAATTTTGTTCAGTGTAATTACTTGTGGTTCTGAATGTGCTGAACTGTACAATAACAAACTGTTATATGAAGAGCAGACCATCCATCCGCTTGGTGAGAGATCAGTATGCAGACGCAGCCACCAGGTTTGTTACAGAAACACAGTTTGGAGTCTCTAAAACCTACTGATTTACTGCTAGCAACCATAGCATTGTAGCTAAAACAGCACCGCTTTCACTACAATGCCACAGTGCCACTGTAAATACTGAACTGACAAACATGGAACATGCAGCGCAAGACACTTGTTTTCCCATTGAATGTGAATACGCCTTAAGAGCACAGAGTTTTAATTTGAGGTTTATCCATACCAGCAGCTGATAGGCCGTGTAGTGAACCAGCAGTGTGGATTTCTGCATTTTATATTAAATAATTTAGAGACTCAACTCCTCTTTTCTCTCCCAGAGAGAAGCAGGGGGGTTTGATTATCAACCCTCTACAGACGGCTGAAGAGACCCCAACAGATGCACTGACTCTGCCAATGTGAGGCCGTTTACCAGCAACCCGGCGGGAAGAAACACAAGCAGTAAGACCAAAACCCTATATTCTGTGGTCAGTGACGTCCAATAGTTGCTCATCCATTTATCTTTAGTCCAGCATATGTAATCTTTAAACCCCTAGACAAATTTAACGAGTTATCATCTAATTGCATTCGTTAGTTGCCGTATGAGTCAAATCCTCCCACAATCGAACCTCCATTCTCATTGTTTATTTCTCTGATGTATTTAACCACCTTTTTATATCACCTTAGTTAATAAATTCACTGTAACCAAGGAATTGTGTATATTGCCTATTTCTAAGTCCCTGCCAAGAGAATTTACCCTTTAGATATGAGACTGACTGATAGATTTAATATAATTGAGCGATTATTAACTAACTGATCACTAATAATTGTATAATTATTAAAAGCTATCTAGAGGTCCGGAGACTCTAGGTTAATAACTCCGGTGGGGCCCCATTCGAAACGAGAGATTTTTTATATTTTTTGAATATTAACATTCATAATTGGGTATTAATTCATATATAGTATAATTAATATTTATCAAAATTCATAATTAGTTTAGACACGTCACAGCCGCATTTCCTAAAAGCATCTAAATGCCCAGTTGACGTAAATCTGCTGCTCAACTGACTGAATTAAAAATAAATTTAAACAGAAACTGAGTTATATTTAATATGGTTTTTATTTTTACCTGTCAAATGTGTTTTAAATGATTTCTTTTTAGTTTGCTCACAAATATTTATATATTAAAAAGGTTTCCATGTTGGTGGACTGAGATCAGCTGCACATGAACACACAGGAGCATGAACGTTTACAGGAGTGACATTAACATTTATTTAGAGATCAATAAGAGCAGCATGACAGAGACAAATAAAATACAATCAGGTGCAGAACAACATCAGCAACCTTTGACTATTTTCATCATTTAAAACATAATACTCTGCTTCAGTAAAGACTTCACTGATAAAAACTCTGTCAACTGGACTTTCAAGAGAGTTTCTGAAGACAGAAACCTGATCAGTCCAGTTAACTGCAGAGATCATCAGATCCAGGTCTTCAGGAGGACTCAGATCAGAAGGACAAGTTGATGAGTGGAGCGTTGTTCTCCCTCTTGTCTTCTGGACTCCACTTGATGAGTGGGGAGCTCAGGTCGATCAGCTGCTGAAACAAAAGAGGAGGAAAAGTCTGTTTTCAAATGAATTACTTTCTTTGACAGTAAAAAACGGAAGATGATTCTACTGTGACTGATATATACCATTAAAAATAATTGTTAATTGTGGAGTTAATATATAATTGCTAAAGACCACAGTGGATGTACACCGTCTGTCCAAAAGTATATGAACAGTCAGATAGTCCCTTCATATGCAGCAGCTAAACATCTCATTCCAAAACCATGAGCATTTAATCTGCTGCTTTGAAAGCCTCCACCCCTCTGGTTTCAGTCTGTCCACCAGATGTTTGCACCTGCTGCAGGGATTTGCTCCCATTCAGACACAAGAGCACCAATGAACACCGATTCAGCTCATCCCAAAGGTGTTGGATGTGGTTGAGGTCAGGGCTCTGTGTAGGCCAGCCAGGCTCTTCCACACCAAAATGAGAAACCATTTCATTATGGACTTTGCTTTGTGTACAGGAGCGCATGTTGAAACAGGAAATTCACAAACTGTTTCTACAGAGCTGCTCTATGAAACAAGAATTCATCTTTCATTTAACCCCAATAAACCAAAGCAGTTTGGTGTTGTAGCCACAGACTTAAAGGGACAGTAAATGATTGTAATCAAACACACTTATTCAATTGTAGAGCCCAATCGATTTATTGATTTGCACATATTAATCGGCCGATAAGCTATTTGAAGATATATCTGCATCGGTAACTACCAATATTACTATTAAGAAAAGAGAAACAGTCGGATCCGTCCTTCATGTCATTAGTGTTGCATAGTTTGCCCACCAGAGGGCGCACTACAGCTCCTCTGTTCATAACACTACAGAACCACAGAACAAATCATTAGCGGACAGCAAGCTCTCACACTCAGTGTTCCCGTTGAGTTCGTCTTTTCTCTCGTCAATTACATGACATGATAAAAATAGCCATCATTTTTCCTCTGACCATACCAGACTTCCTACAGCGCTGGATATACTTGCTTTTAACTTCGTGTTCGCTCCAAAAATTAATGCTACTGTTCCACACGCCAGCCCAGGTGGTGGCGGTATGCAGTTGGTAGGGTTGTAAACTGTACACAAATATCTCGGTTCGGTATGTACCTCGGTTTTTAAGTCACGGTTCGGTTAATTTTCGGTAGAGGGAAGGGGAAAAATGCAAACATTACATTGCTGCTGGTTTATTATGACCTTTACAAAAGTTTCAAATTACTTTACAATTTTTTTTTTAACAAACTTCCAAATTACACATTATATAAAATAAAAAAAAAAAGAATAAAATACTGCTGCAAACTACTAATAAGTTCTCCACTAAATAAAATATTCCCAAAACATACCACATATAGGTAATATAATAACAAAATAAATATGGATTGCAATGCAGCACTTATTTTATTCCGCTTGAAGGCCTGCTCAGATTTCCAAAGTCTTAAGTCTGTTTAAATGCCGAAAGGCATTTGCACTGTGCTCGTTTTTCCCCCTTGTTGCAGTGACAATCTCCTTCCTGTTATACCATTAGTGAGTTAGCAACTTTGACGCGTTGCCAGAAACATACCCAATCACTACTGAGAAATGTCGACCCACTGCTTTCGTCTCATCGACTTGTCTGTGTTTGTATTTCAGTAGGAAATCCTCCATTATTATTTTTATTAGTACTATATTGGTATTTTTTATAGTTTGTTTCACTGGCCCCCACAATACGTACACTATTTAATTTAATGTTCATTAGTAGTAGTAGTTCTTAACAGTATTTACAGTGGGGAGAACAAGTATTTGATACACTGCTGATTTTGCAGGTTTTCCTACTTACAAAGCATGTAGAGCTCTGTAATATTTTATCATAGGTACACTTCAACTCTGAGAGACGGAATCTAAAACAAAAATCCAGAAAATCACATTGTATGATTTTTAAATAATTAATTTGCATTTTATTGCATGACATTTGATCACCTACCAACCAGTAAGAATTCCAGCTCTCACAGACCTGTTAGTTCTTCTTTAAGAAGCCCACCTGTTCTCCACTCATTACCTGTATTAACGGCACCTGTTTGAACTCGTTACCTGTATAAAAGACACCTGTCCACACACTTAAACAGACTCCAACCTCTCCACAATGGCCAAGACCAGAGAGCTGCGTAAGGACATCACGGATAAAATTGTAGACCTGCACAAGGCTGGGATGGGCTACAGGACAATGGACAAGCAGCTTGGTGAGAAGGCAACAACTGTTGGTGCAATTATTAGAAAATGGAAGTTCAAGTTCAAGATGACCGTTAATTTCCCTCGGCCTGGGGCTCCATGCAAGATCTCACCTCGTGGGGCATCAATGATCATGAGGAAGGTGGGGGGGATCAGCCCAGAACTACACGGCAGGACCTGGTCAATGACCTGAAGAGAGCTGGGACCACAGACTCAAAGAAAACCATTAGTGACACACTACGTTGTCATGGATTAAAATCCTGCAGCGCACGCAAGGTCCCCCTGCTCAAGCCGGCGCATGTCCAGGCCCATCTGAAGTCAATTACCACCTGGATAATCCAGAGGAGGAATGGGAGAAGGTCATGTGGTCTGATGAGACAAAAATAGAGCTTTATGGTCTAAACTCAACTCGCCGTGTTTGGAGGAAGAAGGAGGATGAGTACAACCCCAAGAACACCATCCCAACCGTGAAGCATGGAGGTGGAAACATCATTCTTTGGGAATGCTTTTCTGCCAAGGGGACAGGTATCGCGAGATCTTGGCCAACAACCTCCTTCCCTCAGTTAGAGCATTGAAGATGGGTCGTGGCTCGGTCTTCCAGCATGACAACGACCCGAAACACACAGCCAGGGCAACTAAGGAGTGGCTCCGTAAGAAGCATCTTAAGGTCCTGGAGAGGCCTAGCCAGTCTCCAGACCTGAACCCAATAGAAAATCTTTGGAGGGAGCTGAAAGTCCGTATTGCCCAGCGACAGCCCCGAAACCTGAAGGATCTGGAGAAGGTCTGTACGGAGGAGTCTGACTAAATCCCTGCTGCAGTGAACCACAGGAAACTTATGTTCTCTTTGCAAACAAAGGTTTCTGTACCAAATATTAAGTTCTGCTTTTCTGATGTATTTGTTTGCACGGTACAAAATATTTTAATAAAAATATTAAGTAAAAAAACTGTCAGTAGCGTTGGGTTTCTGTTTTGCATGATAAAGACCCAATCAGAGAGCTTCTGCATCGTCGTTTCTAAAGTAGAGTTTCAAAACTGGGTTGGCAGCGTTTCCAAACTTCTCCGTTTTAGGTCTTCATTTTAGTCTGGACAAGAGGTGCAAACCTCGCAGAAGGTCTCCGTTTTAATTCGATGACGCAGTAGCGTGGATGGGGCCTTATTTTGACTGACTCAGCAGTTTCTGCATATTCTTGAATTTCTTCTGTTAGTTAAAGGTTAAGTGTGTAAGATTGAGTGGCATCTAGCGGCAAATTGCAACCAACTGTCTGGTCTACCATTTCACCCCCCCATTACTGTTCAGATTTAGGTTTATTACACGTCTCTTACTGTACACAATCTTGTCATGGCTGCAGTCAAATCATGAAATTCTTGCCCCTTATTTGTTTGGAGCATGTGGCCAGGAATTACACACTGAACCTTTAAGGAGCTATAAAAGGAGGCAAATAAACCTCAAAACATTGAAGCCATTGTTGAATTTTCATATTGATTTAAAAATGAAACCTTTGAGATATAGAGTTCAGCGATACAGGTTGGAAGAAAACTACCATTAAAAATATAATTGGTATTGTATAAAAACACAAATGTAATTTCACTTATGAATGCTGTCTGGGGTTTGTGGATATGACCAGGTGAGGTTGTCAGTTACCTGAGTTGTAGTGCAAGTCTTGTTGTTGGTCCGGATCAGGTCGGGGGTGTTGGTCAAGTCAATGAGCAGTTTCTCTTGAGGCTGCAGAGTCGGAGCTGGAAGATCCAAAAGCAGAACCTGAAGAGAGAACAGAGCGCGTCAGCGTGATGAAGATATGTAACGAATCAACTGAAGGAAGCAGCTGATCAGACTTAGGAGGAGGAAGAGGATGAACCTCCTCAGGACCCAGTTCATGAACCTGTAGTTTCAGTCTGTGACAACAGTATCAGCTCACTTTGATGGAAAGCTTTTATTGTGAAGCAGCAGGAAATGTTCAGCAGTAACTTGAAACATTTCTAATACGGCTGAAAGTGATCAGTAAAAAAACAGTAACATAAGGCCGATACCTCAAAATACAAACAGGAACACAGCTCCAAACCACAGAGATTCAGGTAGAAGCTACAAAAGTCCTGAGAGCTACACACAGACACGCAGGAGACCTGGACCCATGTTTGTTTCATAAAGTTTAATAACGATCAGTAAAGAGACAGAAATGTGTTTGTGACCTCTGACCTCCTGTGTCTTGCTGTTGCTCTCCTCTGTAGTTTCCAGTTGAATCAGGTTTCTGCTGGGCTCCGTTTCGCCCTGACTCTGCGCTCCAGGATGTGTGCTCTCTGATTGGTCAGACTGGGGAGGGGTGGAGGGCGGGAGTGCAGGGGGCTCCTCCTCCTCCAGACAAAAGGGCTGGATGTACGGGACACTCACAGGCTCCGCCTCCTGTGTGCCTGCGGGGGCGGGACTACATGGAAACAACAGCGATACGATAAAGTGAGACCTCTGCGTGTGTTGCCATGGTAACAGGCAGGCGATCGGCAACAGCTTTCCTATTGGTCAACAGCAATTTAAATCGTTTCACCTGAAGCTTCCCTCCCTCTTGTCTGAGGTGGCGCTGAGGGCAGAGTCACAGTTAGGGATGGGTGGTTGCCTGGTGGGCGTTGCAACGGGGAGGGCGGACATCCTGCGTCTTACTGGGGTGGGTAGGGCGGAGGGACGCCGTACCTTCACCTGCAGCGACCTGCAGCCGCCAGCAGAGGGCGTCAGAGGACCAGCAGAGGGCTTCTGAGGCAGACTGTGGAAGAGGAAGGAAAATATAGACGACATCAGTGAGTTGACAGAAAGATAGAATTGATCCTTTAACTTCAAACAAGACACCTTTTTTTATCTGGATCTTTACTATCTAGAAACATCCTTCAGTTCTTATCTACAGTTTCACCTGGCTGTCATTGATTGTGACCAAGTGATATAGCTGTTATTTAGTTTTTCCAGAATTACGAGCTCTCTGGAGTTTTCTTGTAAACAAAGTAATGTTTACAGAATTTCTCACCAAAACACATTGAGCTTTATGTAAGAACATTTTTGTATACTTTTCCAGAACCCTTTTCTCCTTTGAGTCTTGCCTGCACAAGTGTTTCAAGTCACCAAACCCTCTTAACTGCACAAACTTCCAGTAAATTGCTCATTTCAACCAGATGAATGCCAACTGTTCAGGAGTACACGCACTCTTGTGAGATCTGATTACTTACATACTCAACGCCCTCAAATTTAGGACCCCATGAAATCCAGATTCTGTTTTTCTATTTTGTAAGAATATATTAAAAAGTACAATTCGTATTATATTGTGAATTTCTCCTTATTAAATAGGTTATTTACTTGACAGCCTCCATATGCTAACACACCACAGTAATAAATGGTTCTGAGGCGACCCTCACATGGGATATGCTCCTCCTTGTTCACAAACAACTTTCTTTTACAGTAGAATATCTGACTCCGCCATGAAGTCTTCAACAAGCTTGCGTCTTGCATCTGCCGATGTGGTTGCACTTTTGAGAGTTTGTTGAAGTGGTGAGGTCTTGCTAGCGTGTCGACTCTGACATCGCGCCGTGTGTTTTAACGTTGCATCCACATATTGGCAGATTCCACATTTTACAGCTGATTTCATTTTCCATGTTCCACCTGATCGCAGAAATCACAGGGCCCTGCAATTTGCTGCTTAAGTCAAACTCTTCTGCTCTGTTTGTGTTTCATTTACAAAACTTACCCAATAGTAAAAATGAGACTTGAAGCCAAAATCATTTTCATACACATGAATGATGTAAAATGTAGAGCTGACTACATGTTGCAGTGTGATGTCATCTACCTGTCCACGCTGCTCACTGACATCAGCCTCTTTGGCTTCAACATCTTTGAGACGTCTGGAGATGAAACACAAAAAACAAAGAGTGAGAGAAAGAATCAAATACAGAAACTTAAGACTTTAGTTTGAACCAAAATATTTATTAAAAAAAAACATTATTGAACTTATTAGTTCAATTTGGAAGGTGAAGACCAGAATCTGCATTCCTTTAGGCACTAAATTCTCAAAGGTTTGGTCTTATGCAGTATGTACTGTATTTTAAGGCGTTCTTGTTTAGAGACACAGGAAGATGGTCGGGAAATTTTATATATCTGCTACAACATGTGTCCAAACAGCCCAGCATCAAGTCTAACTTAGCAGATCCACTCTTAGTGATTGTGATTAGTGATGTTAAATTGAAAAGCTGCACAGAGATAAAATGTTGGGCCACCTACATTTGTAATAATGCAGCAAGGCGTGTAGTTATCTGTTGTGCTGTCACAGCTGATGATTGATTGGCTGCTGTGGCTGAGTTGAGGCTTCACAAGCAAAATTTATATTTTTGTCTCTAGGGTCTGATGTTTTTATTTTTTGATGGGTTGAACGAATCCAAAATTTATATAGTGTTTAATAAATAAACTAGGATGAAACAAACTGTTGTCAAACTGATCTGATGGTGAATAAACAGACATTAACACTGACAGCATCATTACCATCTCCTTGGGGGACTCCTCTCACTCCTCCGCTTGGTGTCGGTGCCACCAGGGCCTCAGGCTTGGATTTGGCCTTCAATCCGCTCTGCGGCCGCACTGAGGCCATGGCGGGGATTGAGGCGGTTCTCTCCAAAACTTTCTTGGCGGGCGTCATCTGGAGGGGCGTGGTCTCAGATCTCTTCAGCGATGTGGACCTGGTGGCTTTGACACGTTCCACCTCAGACAGCTTCCTGGACTGGATGGACAGCGAGCGGCGGCCGGCGGCGGAGGACACTGGATCAGCTGTGGCGTTAATGGTGGAGCGGCGCGGCCTGCTTTGATTGGTAGGTCTGTTGATACTGCTGGGGGCGGGGCCAGTGGAGCTGCTTATACTCCGGTTTAGAGAAGAGTTCAGTTTACCTGAGGAGGAGACACAACACCTGTACTCTTTGGTTCTGATTGGGTGGGGGTGGGGTGCAGGGTTGTCAGCTGGTTAATTAGCTGTTAGCAGTAGGTGAACGTTTAGTCCAGGGCAGACCTCAGTTCATTCTCTGGCTAACTGCTAGCACCTGCCGATTGTGCAAAGTGCACCTGACGACAGAAAGATTTATGTAGGCCTACTCTGTTTTAGAAGCACAAGACGCGACACATAGCCAGTATTAACAGTTAACTGTTAGCAGTTAGTGTACCTTTAGTGGGGGACAGTGAGAGGCTGGAGTTGAAGCTGGACACAGAGGACGAGGATGAGGACGTGTTCTTCCTGTCTGTCACCCTCCTGCTCTGAAGGGGAGGAGCTTTCACACCTTGCCGGTTCCTCACAACACCCTGATGAAATGATCAGTTATTTCCACACGATGTCAAGATGTTTAGAATAATAAAATAAAAAATAAAAAACAGACAGTATCATCAGTTACATTAAACGTGTTTGACTGCGGACTCTGTTCAACAGGTAGATAGGTGAAAAGCTGAGTTACCTTGGTGGTCGGAGCCAGCATGCGCTTTCCCACCAGGCTGGAGTTGAGGGAGGAGTCGCTGATGTCGGACGCCACGCTCGCCGAATCAGAGAGCAGATCCTCATATGACTCTGCTCTGGAGGGAAGAGAGGACGGGCTACGCCTCCAACCCCCCACCGCCTGAAACAGAATAGGAAAAAAAAAAGCAGATGACATCAACTTGAAATTCATTCAGCTAGTCGACCTTGTAGTCGGGTCACCAGATAACTCTGAGGGGTCACAGATGATCAATGGGAGAACAAAACGAGACAGAAAAAACAGAAAATGGAAACATGATTATGCCTTTTCACCTTAGCAACTTAACCCAATAAAAGTAACTATTGTATTTAGTTCTGCTTTTTGTTTTCACTCTTCTCCTTCTGCTCATTTGGCGGGTTCTTGAAACTAGATTTGGGGAACCAAATCCATTTTCAGATACTTTCAGGGGTTGCCAGCAGTACTGTCAATCATGATTGGTAGAGCAGATGTGAAGCCAAGTTGTTTGTTTGCCAACACATACCATCAGTCTAAAAATGACAGTAGTCCTGCAGTTGCCTTTTTCATGAAGTACATCTTAACCGTCCCGTTTTGTAAACAGTGGAAACACAAAGAGAATCTTGTATCAAAGACCCACAAGTTTCTGTAAGCTCAGGTTCTGGAAAGAACCAGGTGAGTCCCTGCAGTGGAGAAGGACTACAAGAGAACTGTTACAGGCTCACAAAAGATGGCTCCATTAACCCTGTCGTGTTTTAGAGACTGAATGTTTCACCTGTTAATTGAAAAGTAAAAAACAAAACTTCTCTCCTACTTTGCTCGGTGGTTGCAGTCTGGTTTTCTCCATTCTGCTCTTGATGTTTGAACATGAAGGTTTTGGAGCTGCCGGTTTGCTCGGCAGCACAACGCCAACACCCAGCGTGGCTTTCCCTCGCAGCCCAGTCCTGGGCTGAGGCTTGACCCCGGCCACAGGGCTAGAGGTGCTGAGTCTGGTGGTGGATGCAGTTGTGTTGGCGGAGACATGCCGAATGGATGAAGCCGCTTTGGCAGGGCAGGTGGCTGAAGCTACGTTGGAGCTACCTCCTCTCAGCAGGCGCCGCTGGATAGCAGGCGGCAGCTGCTTCATGGGACTGTCCTGCACGCAGAAGGTCTCACGTTTGATGGGGCTGAGTGCACTGGCGGTCTGACCGAGCACACCCAGTTTGGCCTCAGAGTCCTGGACAAACTCCTCCCTCTCAGGTATGCTGCCAGTGGTCATGTTGTCGTCCTCGCTGTGTGGCCGACTCAGTTCGCCTCCCTGCAGCTGGTTGGCTAATCTGTGGGCTTCCTGACACACAGCATCCAGCTGATCTCCACTCAGCGGACTCCAACTCGCTCGTACGCCGCCATCCTCAAGCTGAGACATAACGTTAACAGAGACACACCTCTCCTTATGGCTGACCGGACCCACGAACACCTCATCTTCATCTTCGTCACCTTTGGAGCTGCAGAGCAGAGAGAGACATTATGGCTGAGGGGAAGAAAAACAGCTCAGAGCAAATACCTGCAAACTTGAGAAGGATGACAGCTCTAAACTGAATTTTAACAAGTAAATAACATGTTTTTTAAATATAATATTTGTTAAACCAAACAAAAAGATGAGACCTGTCATGAAGTCATACATTTAGTGCTTCCATTTAATACAGTACCAGTAGTTGACCACAAAATTATTTTATTGTTTTTCCCAGTTACAGGCTTTTAACTTCAAAAAAATTATTTTCCTGATTTTACTGTTTGAAATAAATGTTTGCCTGAACCAAAATCAACTTTTAAATCTACAGTTTTCACAGAGCCCCTCACAGCCTGTGCCAGAGTGAAGAAGAGGAGCCATTTTTGGCAGACAATTAGTGTAAAGTCTGGTGCTGCAACTGAGGTAAAGGGTTAGAGTGGCTTGTATGTCTCTGCTGCTCCTGGAAATCTTATCACAGCGAGTTCACAGAAGTAACTCACATGAGTATAACATGTTGATCAGCCCCTCTCTTGTGTAGCCCCAGGACCGGTGGGCTCTGCAGCAGGTGATTATCTACCGAGTATTGGTAAGATGAGGTGCCTGCGCAGAGCCCCCCTTCCACTGCTATGTCAAGTATTGCAAATATCTTTTGTGTGTATGTATATGTACATAACTGTGTATCTTCCTTCTAACTATGATCATTTCTTTTTTTGATTATTTCTTCCTTTAGTTCTATTTTACGGTTTTATTCTAGTCTAAATGTTCTGTGTGTTTGTAGCATAGAGGGAGCTACAACCGAATTTCACTGTGCAATCCTGTATTGTATAATGATGATGAACCTTGATTTTGGCAGTTTTTGATTCCCCTGATGAATTATAAGCTCTACACGACAGCACACTGGCAGCTCTTGATAAAAATAAAAAAGGTTACTGGTATCAATATGAATATCTGTGAGTTTAGCTGTGTGTTTCCTACCTGGCAGGTGACAGAGACACGTCGAAGTCAAACTTCTCATCAGCCAGGAAGAACACATCTGTCCGGACACACAAATATAGTTAATAAAACACATGACACATGTGACATGGTGTTTAACTGTGCTGACTCAGGAGCAGGGAGCGTTAACTGACCGCTGTTAGCTCGACAGTCCATCCCGCTGTTGGTTCTTCTCTGTGGGAAACCGCTTGATCCGGATCAGACCTGCAGCGGCACATTCAGCTCTGACATTAAACTATAACATGAACTTTGTTTTACACCAACAGTCAAAGACAAACAGCTGAGGGATTGGATTTAAACACGATGTTTAATCGTCATGCTAACTTTGACGTTAGCCTGCTACTAACGTTAGTCGGTTAGTTAACTAGCTAAAATCAAACGATTGCCGGCATGAGCTTTAAAAGTCATCATTTAACATTAAGTTGGGTTCATTCTGTCACGCACAGTTACAGTTTAATTACAGTAAAAAAAAATTACAAACCTCAAATTCCTCTGAAAACTCACAAATTTTCTTTTCTGCTCCGCATTCAAACTGCGACACAAACACACATAACAAGCAATTCAAATCTGCTGCGCTGTTGGCCACGTGACTCTGACGCACTCAGCCATTGGTTGGAGGTGTGTTACGGAAGCGTGAGCAGAGCTATGGGGATTGTAGTCCAAAGAGCAACAAAAGCGGTTTCCGGGTTTTAAAAACCATTTAAATCCGAGTTCTTCTTCTTTATCTTTGTTACGTTTTATGGACCAGAGTTTCTATCCATTGATAAATAAATAAAATAAATAAACAAAACAAAACAAAACACAACAAAGCAAAACAAAAACATAAAAGAAAGAAATGATTAATTACTGAGTTATTTCACTGTTCACTAAACTCTATTGATCAATCCAGTTTCTTTCAAATAATGAAATAGTTTCCCTACCTCAATGTCATTTTTTAGACTCAATTCTTCCTGTCCAAGCTTTCTGATTTCCCTCCTTAATGTTTCTCGTTCCCGAGAGAATTTTTGACAGTGAAGAATTACATGTTCTACTGATTCCTCTATTTGACAGTGGTCACATAATCCTGAAGGGTGCTTGTTTATTAAGTGCAGTGTTTTATTAAGTCTAGTATGCCCTACCCTCAGCCTTGTCAAGATATTCTCCTCTTTACTGATTCTTCTAGCTGTCCTTCCTGTGCCCACATCCTGCTGTAGTATATAGAGATGTCGCCCTGTATTTCCTGTGTCCCAGCTTTTCTGATGTCCTTCTTTTAACAGAAACATGTAAGGCAGGAATACTGAAAGCAAAACCTTTTCTGCCTGTATTAGGATCCGTGGATCCATCTGTATACACCTGGACGAATGTTTGATATAGTGTTTGTAACCTATCTTCAACCAATACTGCAATATTTCCACAACCTTTTTCACCCTGCATTTTCCCAGAAAATATAAGTCAACTGACACTGAAGGAAACATCCAGGGAGGTGTTACAGATAACGGCACTGTAGGGACATATCTTCCTTGACTTAATGTCATGTCTCCAGCTGTTTCCTCACATTTCCATGCAAAACACCCTCGTTTGGCCCTTTCACTCTCCCAACATGGGAGAAGTATCTTTGTTGTAGGATGTCGGTCCTCAGACTGCCCTTGCAGATTTACCCAGTAGTGCATCATTAACTGTTTACATCTAACATGCAGCTGCATTTCCCCCACCTCAACCTGAAGAGCAGACACAGGAGTTGTTTTTACAGCCCCCACAACAGAGTCTCAAGGCTTGTGCTTGCACCACCTCCAACTTCTTTAATGAAGTATTTGCTGCTGATCCATAAGCGATACACCAATAATCTAATACTGATCTAATCAGCACTATATACACATTTTTGATAGCAGCCCTACTTGCTCCCCACTCTGACCCTGTGAAGCATCTCATCACATTCAGTATCTTTTTACACCTGGTGTTTATCTTATCTTATTGTTATGTTCAATCCATGTTAACTTATCATCAAACGACATACCCAAAAATCTAAAGACTTTTACTTGCTCTATCTTTTGCCCATACATCTTTAACTGAACATCGACCCCTCTCTTTGTAGTGAAGACTACGGTCTTAGTTTTCCCAATTGCAAACTTGAATCCCCATGCAAATGACCATCTTTCCACCACATTAACTGCCTCTTGTATTTTACCCTTAATATGGTTAATGTTCTTTCCCCTTTTCCACAAGGCTCCGTCGTCAGCAAACAGTGACTGTCCAATTTCACCCTGAACTTGAGAAAAAACATCATTAATCATAATGGAAAAGAGTGCAGGGCTAATGAAACTGCCTTGAGGAGTACCATTCTCTACCATATACCTTCCTGATACAGCTGTCCCAATTCTGACTTGTATACTTCTCTCAAATAAGAATTCTTTAATCCAGTTATATGTCCTACCTGTTATTCCTATCATTTTTAAAGATTCTTTATTAACTTGCGCTTTCCTTATCTCTGTTTCTAAGCACATAACGGGATCCATAGTTCCTCTACCCCTCTCCACTCTGATGAGGTGATAAAATACATGTAATAATTCTTTCCATTATCTTTCCTATATGTGACGTAAGTGCTATTGGCCTATAGTTCATTGGACTTGACGAATCCTTCCCAGGTTTCCTGATAGGAATAATTATTGATTCTTTCCACCCAGCTGGCAACTTCCTGATTCCTCGCATCAGAAGGTGTTGCTCTACCAATTTTATCACAAAAGGCCTGCCAGCTTTGTTTTTTTGCTTTTCGTATAATTTTCCTGACCTTTGCTTGTGTTTCTTTGTATTTAATTAAATTATGAAAATTATGGGTTCTTCTTAATAATCTGAGGGCTTTATTCCTTTCTTTCACTACTTTCCCACACTCATCTGTCCACCAGGGAACTGCCTTTCTCTTCATTTTCCCTTTACTTTTAGAAATTGATTCTTTGGCAGCTTGTAGTATTGTTGTTTTAAGCTTTTTATCAATCTTCTCTATTTCCTCATTTAGGTAAATTTTATCCATTTCTATCTCACATATATATATAAACCTTTCCCATTTTGCACTGCTGAATACCCACTTCCCCACTAATTTCCCACTAATTCCCCTTGCTTCTCATTTTTGTGTAATAAAACACTACACCATACTGGAAAATGATCACTACCTACTGATGTTTCTTCTGATCGATCCCACTCACACATTCCCGCTTAAATCCGAGTTCAAAGTTTCATTCCAATAAAATCAACTTTAAATTAACTTTCACATGAACATAAAACAGATACTTAATTAAAAAATACATAAATATGTAATTTCTTTATAGCAACATCCCATTGATTTTCAACCACAAAAAAAAACACCTGGCCTTTCAAGGTTTGGTGAACCTTCATGAAGGGATAGACTGAAGAAAGAAAGAAGAAAAGAGCAAAAGAACAAACGTATTTGGGTTTAAATCTTCCACAGCATATGAACAACACCGAGTTCCTCTGGTAATCAAATGATGATTTAATGGGCAAAATAAATGTATTTGTATTATGTCAAATGAGAAGTTCAACATATACACCTAAAATGTTCCCTGTGTGTTGTATTTTACTGCTGCAGATGTTTAAGGTTAAGCTCATTTTAATTACTTATATACTGTTCGGAAGTTTAATCTCCAGAATTGCATCAGAATCTAAGATCTTCATATGTTTGTAGCGTCATTACCTTTTTTCCAGCTTGTCCAAGAGCAGTTTAAATGGTTTATTAAGAAGTAACAGAAATTCCAAATTATGTATCCCCAATTAAATTAAGTAATTAAAGCTGTCAGACAAATATAGAGCAGTAAGAAAGTACAATATTTGCGTCTGAGATGTAGTAGAAAGTAAAGTTGCATAAAATGGAAATGCTCAAGTTAAGTACAAGTACCTCAAATTTGCTGTAGAGTACAGTGTTTGAGTAAATATAAGTTATATCCACCACAGATAAAGGGTTGAAAAAGCTTAAAGAAATGGATAAATGGTTCGGATTCATCCAGCTTCTGTCTCTTTACAAGTGGTAGCGGTTGAACAAATGTTTCCAGTTCAATTGTTGAAAGAAATTAATGTAACAACAATAACAATAGAAATATAAAATAATATAAAAGCTGACGCTCACACAGGTGTTTCATCACCTGTTCTCTTTAGCTTTACTCTCAGTTTGCAGCAGTGAGGAGCTGAAGAACAAACAGCTCACTGGTTTCAGCCCGGCTGTACTGTGCAGCTTCCAGTGTGAAGCAGGAACTCACAGTCTGCAAATGCTCCACCAGAGGGAGCTGTTGTGACCTGCCAGGCAGCTTTACTGCTCCATCATCATGGACGAAACAATAGCTCAGGTACAGTGCAGGTGCGTTCACTGTCACTGTGTGCAATCAGAGGACGCTTAATCACTTTAATGGGAAGGAATAATCACACAGAGTTAAATTCTACCATAACTTTGTGTACGATGAAAAACTATATATGTACTGCACATATATGCTTTACTGTTTGTTGGAATATGTATGTCGTTGTTTGTTCTTATTTTCTATTCTGATCTACAATCTTGTTTTTCTTGTTAAATTCCGACTTTATTTGTCACAATACAGACTTTTTTTCCCATGTAAAATTATTATTCATAATAGTATTACATTTCTTATTTCTTTGATCAATTTTTAAAAAATAATAGTTATTTAAAATAACTTTTTTTTGGTAATAACTATTTTCTGATAATATTACGACCTTCAAAGTTACCACTTTATTCTGAAAATATCACACGCTGGTTATTCTTGTAAGATTATGACTTTTTTATAATAAATAACTGTCACAATGTTAAAATTGTACATAAAACAACTTTATTCTTAAAAATACTAAATTGTCTTTTCTTGTGATATTATGGCTTTACTGTTTAGTATTACAACTTTTAATTATGCGTCTTTTGTCTTAACTTTATCACACAGGTATCACCCTTTTTCTCTCAAAACTACAACTTCATTTTCATAACATTTAATTTTCACAAAAATATATCAACTGTCTTCTCAAAAGACCTAACTCAGAGTGGACTGCCACTCCTGATTAAACACTCTCAGGCCCATCAGTCTTTTCCCTCTACACCACGACTGAGAGCTGATTTTCATACTTGTATTGTTTAATTTGGTTAATATTTCATGGGTTTTTGTTTGGTATTGACTCTCTGTCAGATCTTATATTTAGTAAAGTCTGAAGCTGTACGTAAAAAGAAATATTATGGATGCATGAAAAGCGTGAAAAATGATGAACAATCTTTAATGTTATGACTAATATTATGACTGTGGGATAATATGAGTCCAATATACAGATTATTGGACATTCAACAGTGTGAATCATATCAGACAGTCTGTTTGTGTCCTGCAGTAGGACAGCTGTCTGTGGACCACCTTGTATGATGTAATGAATAAGACTGAGCCTGCAACAGGATCTATGGTGTCGTAAATTCATGGTGAAGGAGGCGGAGCTTCAACAGATAACGACAGTGAAGCTTCTCCCAACTCTTAAAACACACAGACGATGTGTCAGCAGACAGTTTGATTTATTGTTATCCTTCCGGAGGTATTTTGATATGAAGGACAACAG